GCCCATCCCCTCTGGGGGGTGATTTCTCGCTTTCTGTCTCTATGTCTCTCTCTGTCTGTCTGGCGAGCGCACGCACCCTACAGTGAAAAATCTCTCCCAAAAAAAAGAGACAAACGAACACAGCGTGACAACACGGAGTGAGCTCCTGAAGAAGTCCCCGAATCTCACGTCTAGAGAATTCCAGGACTGAGGAAGAGAGCTACCAGGCCCGGGGGCTAGTCCTAGCTATTGACACTAACTCGGAAATTCCCTCCGATTCTCACAAATCACATACTCACGAAGCATCCCCTCAAGTAAGTTAGACAATAAATACCTGCCGCTGCCCACAGGCAGGTGGGAACCCAGTCCTCGGCAGGCCGGGCAGGGTCGCCTCGCGGGCCCGGGCTGACAGAAGAAAAGCCAAGCAACACGCGGAATCCACAGGACCACGCGGCGGGGACCAGTCACGCTCTGGCCCTGGCCCCAGCCGACCAGCGGACCTCCCGGTCCTGACCCCGTGGGGTAAAGGGGATAACTGTGGGCCTGCCAGGCTTCAGACGGCAAGTACACCCGGGCCTGCAGGAAGCAGCAGCAAGACACAGCTGTCCGGGGCCTTCACACCTGCCCCAGCCAGGCTTCTGCAGGCCAAGGCCAAGTGACTCTGACTCTGGGGACGCTGCCTCCCCATGGAGCACGAGATGTCCCCCCACATCATCCAGCCTGCCTGTAGAGGGGGACCAGCATCGTCTCATGTTCAGAGGAGGCGCCCAAGATTCAGAGCAGGAAGGAAAGGGTCCCCCAGTTAGACAGCAAGAGCCAGGTGGTCCACAGTCTGCCTTCCCTCCCTCCACCTGACCTCCCAATGAGAGGGACGTGCCCCCTGCCCTCAACCGGGCTTCTGTCCCTGTCCATACACAGTTTGGCCATACCTGCAGTTGTGCGGACGCCAAAGCCACTGAGCTCTGGGTGCAGGTGTCCTGGCCTGTCCTGGGTGCCTGGCCCACCTACCACAGAGCTGGCATGCAGCCCCCATGTCTGGAGACAGCCCACTCACCTTCCCGAAGTCTCGGACGTCGAAGAGGTCGAAGGGGTCAAACAGCTCACTGTTTCGCAACCCGAATTTATCATGGCAGACTTTAAGGAAGGTGCGTATGTTCTTCAAACACAGGAACTGCAGACGAGAAAGAAAGAGTCAGACTGCAGGGTCGGGCCCTGGGGATGTGTGGTGGATGGGGCCTCGGCCCACTATGTCCCACTCGGCATGGCACCTGCCCCGGCAGGCCCTGTCCAAGAACAGCCCAGAGTGTCAGACCAGTGGCCGTAACCACCCAGTCCCAAAGGACGAACTGCCCAGTTTCAAGAGCTCTGCAGAGCCTGTCCCTGCCCACCAGACAAGAGGTCAGGCCACCCACCCACACTCGGCAGCTCTGGTGGGCGCAAACTGAGACATGCTGAGGACTCCCTGGGAGGGCTCTGACCCCACCACTGCAGGCGGGCCACAAGCCATGTCCCACGCCGACTGCACTGCCACTGTTCAGACGCTGACCCGCGGCTGTCTGATCCACTCCCTGTCCCCGCTCACCACTTCTGAGCATCTAGACTAACCGCGGACTTGGAACGAAATCCCCGCATGCGTATCCCCAACATGGCCCTCGTCTGCCGTCACCACCATGCGCTGTCACAATCAGGATGTTAACAGGGAACCACGTGGCTCGCTCGTCCAGGTGAGACCACGTTTCCTCAGCGTGGACAGGAAAGCCAGAAAGTCCCTGCAGAAAACAGACCCGGCCCGGGGTGCAGCCCAGGATCGCACGGGACCTCAGCTGTCTCGCCTTCAGTCTCGAGGACAGCGCTCTTCCCCAGAACTGTCTAGAATACTGTCCAACAGGGAGCCACTGGCACATGTGCCACCAGCGCCTGAAATGTGGTCAGGCCGTGGGAGAACTAAGTCTGAACAAGCCACGTGTCGGTAGGCAGTAACTGCTGGTCTGGGCTTAGAACACTCTGTCCTCCCCGACCTGTGTCTAAAGAACAAGCCCACCAAAGGACAGAGGGTTTGAGTCCATTCACGAAGCCCTGGCGACGCTCAGGAAAGAGGAACAGTGAAAACGGGCTTTTACGTATGCGTATACACGTTACACAACGAAAGGCAAGTGTAAAGAAAGAGGCCCGGATCCCACTGGTCGACTGCACACTTTGAGTCCCGGACCGAGTGGGCTTGAGAAAAGCATGCCGGGTGCATGCGTGCCCAAAATCCCGAAAGGAGGGAAAAATGGAGGAGGGGGCATTGTGGGGTGACCATTCCCCACAGGGGTGCTCGCTCTCACTGTCTGTCTCATGCACAAGCCCTCTGAAAATTTAACAAAAACTAAAGGGAAGGAGCAAAGTGCGGACGCGGACACACACAGTGGCACTGACGCTGCCAGGACATGGCCACGGGCTAGGATGGCCACGGTTGCCACTGACCTCCAGGCGACGAGGATGGGACGGGCTCTCTCTGAGTCCCTGGAGGACGGACAAGCCCGGCCCCAGCTAGACGGTGGCCTCGTGGCCTCAGGCGGTGAGCTTCTGCACCGGAAGCCCATCTGTGCTCTTCGAGGCGGTCCCAGGACACTCGCTGGGTCCTAGCTGGAAAGCCGAGGTAGGTCCGACCCTGGCCCTGGCCAGCCCCTGCCTCCCCACGCCCTGCTCCGCACAGCGGGCCTTGCACACGGCACGTCTCTCATTCCCACTGAGCACTTATTTTCATTCCCCCCAAGCCTCTCAGTCTCAGAGTTAATCACACAG